TCTTATGGATTCCATTTGTTTCCTATGTTGGGATTCCATCATGTTCTTCAGCTCCTCTATTTTCTTTATCTGTGTCCTCTCTAGATTTATTTATCATGTCTTGCACTATGAGCACCATCTCTGCTGTTATCTGAGAAATTATTTCTGATTTCATTTTTTCCAGATCCTGTTTGTTTGCCAGTTCAGGGAGTCCGGATGGTTGAGCATCAGATTGTTCCCTCTTATTTCTCTTTCTGGTTGCTGTAAGTGATCTGGAAGTCTGGTTTTGAGACTTGTTTATGTGTCTTCTCATTTCCATGGGGGTGTGTGTGTGTGCTGCTAGCACCCACGTGGCTCACCTCCTCTGTGCTGGGAGCCAGCCTATAGTGTTCTGGGGGCCTCTTCCTGGGCTCTCCTCTCCTTGGACTGTCATTCCACTTCATAGCTTTGGCTGAAACTAACTTCTGAGGCCTCCCAGGTTGCAGATTTGTGAGTGGAGGAGCTTCCAGAGTCTCCTTGGACTGTTCTCATTTCCTATACTTACCATCCCAAATTTACTATTTAAATTGGGTGAAGTTTCTTCAGGTTGCTAATGTAAGTGATAACAAGCAGAAACTTAATGTACATGGTTTAGCTATATGATCTATGAATAAAAGTAAAAAATGTGACTTTGCTGTATGACCAAAACTGTAAAAATTGAAAACCACTGCATAATGACACAAACCACTGCATAATGAAAACATTCCAGTAATTCATAATTACCACAAAGAGAAGAGTACAGACAGGAGACCATGGGTCATGTGATATTCCTACTTCATTGGCTAAAATACCCCCATTTTTCTCTATACTTGCAGAAGTATAGAATTCAGATGAACCAGTGACCTTGACTTGATAGTAAGCATACCTTTGGGTTTTGACGGAGCCAGCCGTCACTAATCGAACAGTACCTGAGGAGAGGGGTGAGGATTAAGAAAAACAACACAAACTCAAGGGAAAAGAAAAGGAGGAGAGAGCGAGGGCCTTCTCCTTCTCACTTTATTGAGCCTTTTATATGTCCTCCTTCATTACCCACAGCCTCCCTCCCTTCCTCCCCTCATGATCTCGTGACTAATTATTTTTACAGAGAAAAGGTCAAATATATCTTTACAATTCCGGGAATGTTACTTTCTTGTCCAGCAAACATTCAAATCCTCTCTATATTCGTTGTTTTCTTTACAAGTCAACATCCTTGTTTTTGTACCAGTTTCATATCCTGGCTCATTATGTTCTTATCTGACTCAAAAATCTCAAGGGGGTTAGGAGTCTTTCAGGGTTGTTTCAACCCTTCGCTCTCCACAGGGTTTGTTATAATATATAATGTTAATGGATCATTTGCAATCTCTAATAGCTTAACTGTTTTGCACCTGATGATGCTTAATGTTACACCCAAGAGCCAATGAACATCACCTATGGAACTGTGGGGGTTGGCAGTGGGGGAGTCCTTTGCAGGAGTGTACCATGATGAAATGGACACACAAACTGAAGGATACGCACAATCAACTAGGGTTGAGAGTGCTGCGGGAAGATCGATGGAAAGGTTCTTTCAGTAATTTAGGGACTAAGTGATGTGGGCATTCTTGGCTGTTGGCTGTGAGATTTGGGAAAAGGGATTAGCTGGAGGAGAAAGGCTAGAAAAATGTGGAGGAGCCCAGTAGAGGAGACATAGATTTCATCAGTAAGAGGGAAATATTTTCCAGTGGTGTTTTGTCTCCGGAGGAATGTAAAGAGAACAAATTGGGGCAGTAAGATGCTCTGTGTGGCAGCAAATATTCAGATTACCATGGGGAGAGACTTGAAAAACCTCTGTTTGTGAGGACTACAAGTCATTTCATCTCCTTGGGCTGAGAAAAACCCCCGCTGTGTGATCTCTTAGCCAATTATGGGAACTTGCACCGCTAAAGTGGTGCATTTAATGTAAAGCACGCAAATCCAGGGTACCTTTTGGCTTTTGAAGATTTTCTTATTTCATCTGTGATTTCCTTTTTATGGTTCTCACTTACAGGGATGTAGTGGTGTCAAGGCCGACTTTAAGGCATCTTCCTCCTATCTCGTTCTGTCTCCGGAGAGGTAAGTCCGGCAGGTTAGTGTCTTTCACCAGGAGCTCCACAGCCAGGGCATTGAGATGGGCTGTGGAGGAAGTGAAGATGGCCTGCACTGGCCTCATAGTGGGGCCCTTATCTCACTGGAAAAGGAGCTGGCCTGAGCCTGGGGTCCCCTGTGTAAAGAGAGGTTGACATTGCAAAACTGGCCTCATCTTACAAAGTTCATGGAATTTGGTAAACATTTGGCTCCAAAGACTTTTACTATTTTCCATTTCTGGTTTTGCCTTGAACTATGAGGGCAATAGCTCAAGCCTCTCTTGCCTTCTTTTGTTCACAGACTATTCCAGCTCTAATTTGCCTCAGCTGTCTGACCTTGTGCCTTTCTATGGGTTTGACTTGTAATGACCTGGTCCAGCCAGCACGGACAGTTTGTCCTTCTGCCAACAGAGGGAAGGGCCCGTTGCTCCATTCTCTGCTCTTATTCCCACCTCCCAATAGTAAAAAAAGCATTTGGAAATAAGTAACTTTCCTAAATTATATTCAAGGAGAATGATTAAAGAGAAAGTCTGTTTTCATACCTAGGTTACAATGGAGATAGGTGTGTTACTGACTAGGGTCGCTGTGGAGAGTAAGCAACTCTGAGTGTGATTGTTGTAGGCAGTAAATTTGCCCCCAGTGATATGTCCACATCCCAATTCCTGGAACTTGCAAGTGTTACCTTGGATAGAAAGACAAAAACAAAATTCTTTGCTGTCATGATTAAGTATTGTCTTAGTTACTTTTCTTGTTGCTGAGACAAAATACTCAACACCAACAAGTTAAGGTTTACTTAGCTTATGGTTTGTCCAGGTGTCAGCCCATAATCAGCTGGCTCCAAGGCAGGGTAGCATGGCAGACAGGCATCACAGAGGAGAAACAGTTCATGGCAGGCAGAAGGTAGCAAGGCAACAAAGTAGTGAAGCAAGTCCAAGCGACTGTAGCAGTTTCTTTCTGCCCTTTTAGTATTCTATCTAGGCTACTGGGCTTATGGCAGGTACCAAACCAATCAGTGGGTTGATTTAATAATCACATCCCCTTAATTCCACCATCATACACTCTAGACCCAGCAACCTCTGAAAAAGCCCCCACCTATGACCGCCTGAGGCTTTGGGGGGACATCTAGACATAACCCACAACAAGTATCTTTTATGCTCATTTTTTTGGTACCGGGCATCAAACACAGGACCTTGTGCTTGTGAGGCAGGTGCGGTGCCACTGAGCCAAATCCTTGTCCCCCATACAACAAGTACCTTGAGGTGAGATCATTCTGAAATACCTAGGTGATCTCAGGTCTTTTCTCATTAAATCCATTGCTGGAGTCACCCCAGAGGTGGTGACAGGGAAGTTCCCACGAGAGAATATCCCAAATATCCTGATATGGGGCTGGTTGGGATTCCAAAGAAAGAAGCACTAATAACAGGGAGATGGGTGTAAAGCATTTATTAGGGAAGATTAGAGTGTGAGGCAGCTTCTTCTCATGATGGAGAGAGGAAAAAAGTGGTGCTCCATCTTGGTATGTCTATCATGAGGGGCTTGGGGTGTGAAGTTTATATGATGATTAGTGGAATTTTGACCTAGGGCTAGGGCCAGTTTCTTTCAGTGATTTGAACAAGCCTTTTTCAGTGCCTAGGAACGTTCAAGGCCTGGCCTGGGCTCCAGCCTTCTGGAATAAACCTAAAAGTGGCTGGGCCACAAAGTGGTTAGGACATGCTGTGATTTTTCTGTCAGGACACAGAAAAAAGGAGGGGGAACTTGGACTCTGTACTCTAAAAAGAATTCTTTATAAGAGCAGGGCAGAGGGAGATTTCAACACATAGAAGAGGACGAGGCAGTGGGATCATGGGGGTAGTAGAGATGGGTGTGATGGGACCACAAGCCAAGAAATGCTGGCAGCCACCAGAAACTAGAAAAGACCGGAAGCAGACTCTCCTCTAGAGCCTGTAGAGGGAGTGTGGCCCTCAAAACCTGATTTCAGTTCAGTGAACTTCTGGCCTTTAAAACTGAAAAATACATTTTTGTTTTTTTTAAGTAGCACATTCTAGTAATTTGTTACAGCAGACCCAGGAACCCAATGCAATAATCGAGCTGTTTTTATCTGCTGGTGGCTGCAGTTGTAAGTCACTGACTCTAATGATGCGAAGTGGCACACAGGAAAATAGGGGAGAGGAGAAAGTGGATAGTAGGAAGCATCTTCCCCATGCCCTGCTCTTCACCGAATCTGAAGGCTACATGTGAAAGAACCCACTTTAAGTCATGTAGCATCCCTACATTTTTCTATCCTTCCCTTGGGCAATTGAGGGCCCACTATGAAGGAAACACTCTTCTAGGTGTTGACTTTTGTATTTCCCCTTTTCTGGAGTACCTTCTCCTATGTACGTGTAACCTTTCTCACCTGGCCATGATCCTGAATTTATATCGTGTGATTGAGACTCTGTGATAAGAAAAAAAAATATAAAAACAAGCTGGTAAGGATAGCTGACTCAGTGAGGAGAAGGCCATGCCTTTCTTTTCTTCCTCATCAGCTACAAATAGCCAACTCTCTATGCTCTTGAATTGGGTCATATCAATTAGGAAAACACAGTGACAACATCAGCATCAATTAACTAAGTATTGGGCTGGAAATAACATCTCAGCTCTGTAATGATAGCACAGATCTGCACAGAGCCTCAGTTAATGGGAATCCAGATCAAACTTGAGTCATTATGGGGAGATGGCTAGAGATGGTTCCCCCCAAGATTCAACTTTTCCACCTTCACAGTGAACTAGTCCAATAAATGATTTTTTGCTTTTGTAGCACTAGGTAACTACAAATGTTAGGTCAGAAAGACATTATAAGTCGCCTTGCACATTCAAGCCATTTTATAGACCAGGAGAATGAGGCCAAGCTTGCAGTCATGGCTTGTTTGAAGCCACACAGCAAAGAATCTGGGGCTGCAGATCCTGTCTGCTGACAATGGGCTCTCCCTGTTATCTTACAGTTTTTAATTGAGGGGATTGATTCGTGGGTGGATTTCAGAGTTCCTGTAAAGTCCCTGAATTTGTGTGCCACGATTCTTTGCATGTCTATACATTTTTTTGTAATAGAAAATGTTTAATAAGGTGTCTATAAACAGATAATGAGTTTTCAAAAAGCTGTCCATTGATCAATCCAATGAAAATTCACTATGGCTCTGTTGCACATCAAGCCTTCTTTCAGACATTTAGGATGGAGCTGTACACTGAGCAGGCAGAAATCCCTTTTGTCAAGGAACTTATACTGTACAGGTGAGGGTGATAGACAATTAACAAGTAAAACTTATTCTGTATCAGATGGTAAGGGGTGAATGCAGAAAAAAAAATAAAGCATGGGCAGGAACAGGGAGTGCAGGGGACCATTTCTGTTTTAAGGTCCCCCCATGAGGGTCACACCTCCTTGCTCTGAAGTCATGAAGTATAGTACAGTGCAGGACACAGCATGCTGGGCTGCAGCCACTTGACAAAGGGTAGGTAGGGATGGTGTCCTCACAGAGCCCCGGTCCTGACCCCTTGTTCATTTTCAGGGACACTCGTGTTGTGAGAGTGAGTAAGTCATCCCGAGTGGCCAGGCCACCCTCACTCACTGTGTGCCACATTCTGCCCATTGCCGCAGACAGTAATGGCCCTTATGTCAGTGCCATCCATGACTTCCTGCATCACTGTGCCTGGGGAAGGAAGGGAGACCGGGCAAGCAGGAAGGCAGAAACAGCAGTTCCTGGGGCTCTGTGTTGGGAATAAATAAAGGATAGCCTTTTGATGGTCTGTGCTGCTACTTTTTCAAAGCTTTTGAGTTTGATTTGATTTTCACATGGTTCTGAAAGACATTTCACGTGTAGTTAATCCTGCTTTAAAGGTTTATCATACCACACACAGAGGGATGTGGGGTCAGATGGTAGGTTAGAGGCAGGGCAGAGGATTAAAATACAGATCCTCTCGTCTGTTTGCAGTAGCCCTTCCTGTGTCATCCACAACCTTACTGTCATCGCTGTCTTCTTTCTTTACCTTATATCCCACATTCAGTCCAGCAACCAATCTTCCCTGGTAACATATTTAGAATCTGATCTCTCTCTACCATCCTGCAATGACTGCTTTAGACTAGCCCATAATGTTTTCTGGCATGGATTCTTGCAATAAACAGTTAACGAATCTTGCTGCTTTGACCTTTCCCCCACCCCCAACTTTCAATCCGTTCTCCACTCAGCAGCCCGGGAGCCAAGAGTGACTCTTAAATAGAAGTTAAATCAAATTATTCTCTTCATCAACGCCCCTAGTAAAGCCCCATCTCTCAGAATGAGAGCCAGAGTTCTTCCTGAGGTCCACCAGGTCCTACGAGATCTGATCTCCAGCTATCCCTTTCATCTAATTTCTCTCCCTCCTCCCTTCCCTTCCCCGAATTTGACAAATATATTGCCATCCAGAACTTTTGCTCTTGTTCTTCTCTCTACCCGGAGGTTCATCCCCCAGATATTCTCATGACTGCTTTGCTTCACTCAAGTCTCTGCTCATGGTATAATTGTCATTTAATATAATGACCAAAAGAACCCCTCAGTATGAACATTGCTGCCTTGTGTTTCTTTACAGCACGTATCACAACCTGACGTTATGTGCTAGTTTTTTAACTTGGATTTTGTCTCTCTTACTAGAATGTAACCATCAGGGCTCTGACTACCTTATTTGTGCTTCAAGCCCAGTGCTCTACAACACATCCAATACCTAAAAGGCATATTCGTTTGTTAAAGAATTTGTTAAATAAGTGAACAAAAATTTTCCTTTAAAATCATGTATTGAAGAAGGACTCATATCTAGAATATATAAAGAACTAAAAAATTAGATTCCCCAAATAAAAGACCTAATCAATAAATGGACAAGTGAAATGAATAGACACTTCACAAAAGAAGTAGAGATATCAATAAATACATGAAGAAGTGCTCCGTACGGTGAGCCATTAGAGAAATACAAACTAAAACAACACTGAGATTCCATCTTATCGTAGAAAGAGTGGTCATCATCAAGGAATCAAATAATAACATGCTGGAGGGACTGTGGGGAAAAGAAAGGAATGCTTTACACTATTGGTGGGAATATCAACTAACACAACCAGTTTGGAAATCAGTATAGAAATTTCTCAAAAAACTCAAACTAGAAATTCCATTTGATCCAGCTGTCCTCTTCTAGGTATCTTCCTGAAAGAATTAAGGACATCATCTTACAATGATTTCAAGCATACAGTTTATAGCAGTACAATTCATTATAGCTAAATCTTGGAAGCAACCTGTATGTCCATTAATAGATGAATGAATAAAGAAATGTGGTGTTTACCTGCAGTGGAGGACCACTCTGCCATAAAGAAAGATAAACTTGAGTCATCTGTAGGAAAATGGATGCACTTTGAGACCACACTGTTAGGTGAAATAAATCAGACACACAGGCTTAAATACGGCATGATTTCTTTTATGTGAGAAATACAAATTATAAACACATAGCAAAATACAATAGATAACAGCAAGTGAAGAGACAGATCTTTCTCAAATAGAAAAGGAATCAAGAGATGAGGGCTAAGGAAGGGGAGGGAAAGGGGATAAAAAAGAAATTAAGATGTGTTATGTACATGTACTTCACACAAAGAATGTAAACATTATGTACTGCAAACATTTACTAATAAGAGGGGAAGGAAAGGCAGAAGAGGAAGGGAGAGAGAGAATGTGTGTGTGAGAGAGGGATGCTCTAGTGTTTTTTCTTCCTTTTGTAAAGACAGCAGTCCTATCAGATTAGCAACTTCTTTTAACCTTAATTACTTTCTTGAGAATCCCTATCTCCAAGTATAGCCACATTCAGGCTTGGGAATTCAACAGATAGTTTTTGGAGTACATAATTTGGTTCATAACAAAGGTTAACATTTATTATTTGCCCTCTATGTGCTAAGCACTGTCCAAAGCCATTTATACATTTTCTCATCTAGTTATAGCCCTATTTCACAGGCAAAGAAATGGAGGTAGCAGAAAGTTTGCCCAATTCGCTCAGGACACATAGTTACTAAGTAGAAAAGCTGAGACTTGAATCCAGTACTGGTTCTCAAGCCTGGTCTTTTATTCATGTATGCACTATAGCCTTCTATTTTATTTGAAAGACATGGAAATAGGTTCCTTTGTGTCTTAGTTACTATCTTGTGGCTGGGACAAAATACTTGACACGTACAAGTTAAAGGAAGAAAGGTTTATTTTAGCTCACAGTTTGTACACATTTCAGTCCACAGTTGACTGGCTCCAAGGCAGGGCAGCATGGCAGAGGAGCAACAGTCCATAGCATGGCAGGCAGGGGACAGGTAAGCATCAGCATCAAGCCTCTTTTTGTCTTTTATCCCATCCAGGCTATAAGCCTATTGGTTGATGCCACCCAGGTGTGCCTAGAGCTATGTTAAACCAATTATTGGACTAATTTAGTTATCATACACTCTTAATCCATGTTCACACACCCTAAATCCAACCAACTCTGAAAAGTCCCACCTATGAGCACATGAGGCTTTGGGAGGACATCTACATGCAAGTCGTAACACTAGGTGCAGTTTTTAAACTTTTCCACTAGCTTTCTCACCCCCCCCCCCGTGTCAATCCATTTTTTTTTTTCACTTGGCGTATATTCATGGGGAAGTATAAGTACTTGGGAGATTCACAGAAAGGGTGTAGTAGGCAGGTATGATGGCTAATCTTTATTGTCAACTTGACTGGATACAGGTAGGATATTAGTAAAGCACACTTCTGGCTGTGTCTGTGGCAGTGTTTCCAGAGATGATTGTCTGTGGGACAGCAAACTGATGGGGGAGACCTGCCTTGAATGTAGGTTGCACCAGACGAAGGGGGAAGCCCTCTAGCACATTCTCTGGATCTTTCCCTCTGTTTCCTGTATACCATCAGGTGAAAGATTTTCTTCTGTCACACTACTGCTGCCATCATGTCCTGCTTTGCCTCAGGCCCAAAGGGATGAAACCAATAGACTGTGGACTGAAACTTTGGACACTGTGTACCCAAATAAATCTTTTCTCCCTTCATTTGACTTTCTCAGGTATTTTGCCACAGCCATGAAAAGCTTGCTAACAGGAGGATAAAGTAGGCCATGGTGAATTAACAATTACAAAATACCATTGGCTTAGCATATGGCTTATTTCTTACTCATGCTGCTTGTTTAACACGATCAGTGGAAAACTGCTCTGCACAGTCACTCAGGGCCATGGACCAATGGAAACGCTGTTTTATAGTTGTCCCACCTGGAACATGTGGTCTTCATGGTCAAGATGTTAGAAGATGGAAAAGAAAGTTCTATGTATTTACCTGCCAAATGAATGTGTACACCCTCAAGATACAGACTTCTCCGTAATCTCAGTGTTACTTGGTGTGCTCTTCTATTCAATTCAAAACTCATTCTAACTCCTCACATCTGTGTTCTTCCAAAGACATAAGTGCATTCTATTTTCTATCATCACGATTTAGTTTTGCCTGTTCTAAAATTTCCTGTGAATGGAACCATTCAGTACATACCCCTGTGTCTTGTTTCTTTTGCTCACATAATTATTTTGTGATCCAATCTTGTTTATATTTCAATAGTTTGTTTCTTTTTAATTCCTCATGTGTAGCATCAATTAATTTCATGTGAATTGGCCACATACTTACCTGTGGTGTTTCCTGAATATATTAATCCTTGGCTAAAGCTAGAGAATGTAGTAATTGGAGATAAATGATGTTTTATAGCCATATGAATGTGAGTGGTTATGACTCAGGACAGATGGGCCAGTCAACCTTGTTTACTAACAGTTGAATTTACGGCTTGCAACAGGTTTTGGACTCTGAAGAGTGCTGACAGGAAATATTGGACCTGTAGCTATGATTTGGCTCCCTGACCAGCTCAGTACAAAAGACACCTTCCCTGAGAAGACCTCTGGCTTCCTTGTTCCAAAATTCTTCACTTGCATATCATTGAAGATATGAAAGCTGGAGACAGCACATATACTGGGAAACCCAACACAGTCCTAAAAATTAAAGAAGTCTGTTATTGCAGTGTTGTATCCTGTACCTACTTTAGAATTATTGTCTTAGTATGAACTGAATTTTGTGCTCCATTTAAATTAATCCAACCCCCTGAAACAATTAGCATGTTATCAATATAGCAGAATAGCGTTCCATTGCAGGAATGCACCATAATTTATCCGTTCACCTTTTGATTAACATTGTAATTTTTGCTACTATGGTAATTATCGTACAAATCATTTTTTTGAGACTTAAGCTTCCAATTTTCTTCAGGAAATACATATGAGTTTATGTTTGATATCTATTATAGTATAACCAATCACACAAAATTAGTGGCTTAAAACAACATAGATTTATTATCTCACAGTTTCTGTGGATCAGAAATCTGGGTACTGGTCAGCTGGGCCCTTTAGTTCAGAGTATCTTACAAAGCTTCAGTCAAGGTGTTATGTGAGGTCTCGTCTGAAGGTACAATTGGGAAGATCTACTGCTAAGCTTGCACGTTGTGTTGGTAGGATTGTGTTCCTTGCACGTGTTGAACTAAAGGTCTTAGTTCCTAGTGGGCTACGGCTGGATGCCATACTCCTTTTCTTTCTATATGGGCCTCTCCTGATGTCAGCTTGATTTATCAGAACATGCAAATTAGAAGGCAGTGGGAGAGCCTGTTAGCAGAATGGAAGTGACAATCTTTTAAAATCTAATATCAGAGGCAACACCCCTTCAATGTTGCTGTATTTTATTGTTAGAGGCAAATTACTCAGGGAGGGAATTACAAAAGGCTATAAACATTAGGAAATAGGACTATCTAGTGTCATTTCAGAGCAACTACTATAGAATTGAATTTCTAGGTCATAGAGTAGATATATAGTAAGTATATTCAGAACCACAGGCTATTTTCTAATGTAGCTGTATCATTTGGCATTCCCACCAGCAATATATGAGAGTTCCAGTTGCTCTATGTTTTTCAGCACTTGGTATTTTCAGACATATTTTTCATAGTCCATCTAGTAGGTATGAAATGGTATCCTATTAGGGTATAAATATAATTTACCTTTCTCTTATGGGTAATGATGTTAGTAGCTTTTTATTTGCATATTGACTATTTGTGTATCTACTTTCATGAAGTGTCTGTTCAAGTTTTTATTGCTACTTTGGAGAGTAGCTTTCCTTTATATTATTGATTTGTGAGACGTCTTCCTATATTTTTGCTATTAGTGCATTGTCAAATATATGTATTTTAAATATTGCCTCTCAACCTGTAGCCTACATTCTTTTCTTAATGTCTTTTGCATTTTTAAATGTTAAATTCAGTTTATTGGTTCTTTTTAAATAGGGCTATTTCTCTTCATCTACCATAGGCTTTGAAAACATCCTCAGTTTTCTAGAAGCTTTATGGCTTTATCTTTTTGTGTTGAGTTGATTTTTTAAGTATGGTGTTAAGAAATGATTAAAGAGCCATTTAAAAAAATATAGAAGCTAACTGTGGTGGCTTTAATCTCAGCACTCTGGGAGGCGGAGGTAGGAGAATCACAAGTTTGAGACCCGACTGGGCTACTTAGCAACTTAGCAAGACTTTGTCTCAATATAAAAAAGTATTTGATGGGAAACTTAGTGAATTAACAAGATCCTGCCTCAAATAAAACAAAACAAACAAACAAACAAAAAGGACATCCTTTATTAAAAAGACTACATCCACCCAATGACAGTTATCTTTTGTCAAAAATCGATTGGCCATTCATATTTAGGTCTGTTCCTTGATTCTAGCTTCTGTCCTTACTGCTCTATTTTTGTTTTTTAATATCTTTAAACCAGCACTACACTGTCTTAATTCCTTTAGCTTTGATAAATGAATCTTCAAATCCAATACTGTAAGTCATGTAGCATTTTTCTTTTTTTTCAGATTGTTCTGATTACCATAGGTCCTTCACGCTTCCATTCAAAATTTTAGGATAAGCTTGTCAAGTTCTTTTTTTAAAAAAAGCCTTTAGGATTTTGATTGAGATTGCATTTAATCTATAGAGATCAACTTAAGGGGAAATAGACATTGTGCTAATATTGTCTTTCAAAACATGAACACATTATACTTAGGTCTTTATTTTTTTAAGCAATGTTTTATGGTTTGCAGTGTACGGGTATTCATTCTTTCTAATACATTCCTATGTATTGAAGGAATCTGACTGCCACCACCCTCAGCCGACCACTTAAACCACCCCACCCCAGCACAGCTGCACCCAGTAACTCGTGTCATTGTTGAGCCCTGCCATCATCAGCAACCACTACTCCCTGTACTTCTCAAGCCTTGTACTTGAGCAACCACTGCCCCCTGTACTTTCTCAAGCCTTGTACTTGGCAGGTAGCCTCAAACCCCTTTCACTGAACTCTCCCCCTCACGGCCCTATAAAAGACCTCGCAGTCTGTATGAGAGGAATCGGTCTGGTGTCAAGGCCAGAATGGTCCCTCTCAGGTTTGTTCTGAAATAAACTGTCCTGTTGAGCTCATCCCTTTGTTTCTTTTCCTTCTTTTTCCTAACGTGCATTATAGAGTTTTGATGCTATTGTAAATGGTATTTAATTTTATTTTTCAGCTTTGATGCTAAGATATAGAAATGCAGCTGAATTTTTACACGTCATCTTTGCATTCTATGATATTACTAAGTTTACTAAGTTGCTCTAATAGGATTTCTATAGATTCTCTATAAAATCATACTGTTTGTGAGTAAAGACAGTTTTGCTTCCTTTCATCCAAGTTTTATGCTTTTTGTTTCTGGCTTATTTCCCTGGTTAGGAACTGCAGTGCAGTGTTGACTAGATGTGACAAAAACAAATACCCATTCCTTTTTCTCAAGCTTAGATCGAAGATATAGTCATCTTGTGTTAGTTTTGATAAATTGCATATTTCAAGACATTTCTCATTTCATCTAACCCATTGAGTTCATTGGCATAAAGTTGTCCATAATAGTCTTTTATAATAATGAAATAATTTTATTATTTATATTTTATTATTTATAATTTTTTATAATGATAAAAAAGAAAAGTTTTCCATAATAGCCGTCATGTCTGTAGGATCTGTGATAATATGATCTTTTGCATACCTCTTTTAGATGATTTATGTTCTCTCTTAGTTGTTCTAGCAAGGTGTTTCTTAGTCTTCCTTTGCAGGAAACATCTTTGCCTTTGTTGTTTTTCTAGTCTCCATCTTTTAAAAAATTTTGTTGATTTCTGTTCTTATCTGTGTTATCATGTTCCACCTACTTTGAATTTATTTTGCTTCTTTTCCTTTCACAGCTTTTTAAGTTGGAACTTGTGGTTATTGATTGTAGCCATTTCTCCTTTTCTAACATGAGCATTTAAAACTACCAAATTTACCTTTGAACATAATCCACAAACTTCGATATGCTGTGTTTTTATTTACTTCCATACTATTTTAAAAATATTTTTTCCTTTGGCCCATGAATAATTCAAAAGGCTGCTGTTTAATTTCCAAAGATTCAGGATTTTTCTAGATGTTGCATAGTTAATGATTTCTAAATGCTGTTATAATCAGATAGTGTGCTTTGTGTAATTTTAATTCTCTAAAGTTTATTTGCACTTATTCTATAGCCCAGGATATGGTCTATCTTGGTGATCGTTATGCATGCACTTGAAAAGTATGTGTATTCTACAGTTGCTGGGTGTGATGCTTCTAATATAATTAGTTTAAATTGGTTGGCTGTGTATCTTCACCAATATTTTGTCTACTTGCTTTATCAGTCATGGAGAGTGGGAGTTGTTATCTTCTATCCTGATTGTGGAATTGTTAAATTCCTTTTACTGCTTCCAATTTTTGTTTGAGAGATATTGAAAGCTTATGATTAGGTGAACACATTTATGACTGTAAGCCTTTTTGATAAATGGGTCCTCTTGTAGCTCTGAAATGTACCTATTTATCTCTGTTAATCCTCTTTGTCAGGAAATTTGTTTGATACAATCCACACCAACTTCTTTATGTTGACTCTTGGTAGAGTATCTGTTTCCTTCTTTTTATTTTCCTTCTGTGCCTTACTAAAAATAAGTGAAAAATGATTCTTGCTTTATCAAGTATGACAATTTCTGCCATTTAATTGGAGTGTTTAATTCAATTACATTTGTTATAATTATTAATACTGATAGATTTTAATCTACCATATTATTTTTTTCCTAGTTATTCTCCCTGTTCATGGTTTCTCCTTTCCCATTTTCCTTTGTTGAGTATTTTATTTATGTTATTGTATTCTGTCTTGTCTATTTTTAAGATCAAAATCTGTACCATATTTTTAGTATTTGCTAAATGGATTATAATTTTTATAAATTTATCGTAGTGTAATTTAAATTGATGTTATACCACTTTATGTTCAGTATAAGAAGTTCACAAGAGTACACTCCCATTTATATTCACTTCTATCGATTGTTATATTTTTGTCATAGTCCTTGAAGTTTGGAGAGTTTTTATTGGAAATCAAGAGGAAAATAACTCCTGGATTTCCAGGAAGAGTCCCACATGGGAAAGCCATTTTTGTCATATATCTAACTCATATGTATGCTATAAATTCTACACTATCTTGTCATTATTCGTGCTTTAAAACAGACTTTTTAAATGTTTATGAAATAAAAGTATTCTTGTAAAATTAATTATATATTTAAAGTTTACATTCCTCCTTGTCATTTCCAGTAGATTGATATTTCCATCTGATTTCATTTACCTTCAGTGTGAACTATTTCTTTGTGGTTTCTTTAAGTGTGAGCGTGATGGCTTCAGATTGTGTTAGTTTTTATTGATCAGAAAATGTCTTCATTTTGCTTTCATCTTTGAAAGTTATTTTTGAGGTATATAAAATTATAGGCTGACAATCTTCTTTTCTAGCACTTCCACGATGTTTTCCAATATATTCTGGTCTCCATGTTTCTGTGAGAAGTCAGCTTTCATTTTAAAAATTATTTTCTTGTATTTTTTGTGTCTATTTTCTGTAGCTTTTTGTAAGCGCATTTCTTTTTCTTCTGTTGTGTTTTGCTGAGCCTCCTGGATATGTAGTATGTTGTTTAGATTAATTTTGGAAAACATTCAGCTATTATTTCATCAGCTTTTTTTTCTTGTCCCATTTTTCTCTCTCTTCCTCTTAGGTTCTAATTACACCATTGGCTATTACCCCACAGATAATCAAATATCATTCTGTTTTCTTTCA